GATAGATCACATTTAGTTCTTGTGCTTTGTGGCCAGTTATTTGGAGGTGTCCTACCTATCACATGTATGCTACCTGTGCAATGGTAAGTTTAGCACATTTCATAAGATGCTGCTGTGCTTCCTTTGTGAAGAACCCTCCACGTCAACACTTTCACCTTGTGAAGCTTTTGCTACTTATTCTGTGCTTCTATAGATGCAAAGTTGTGTTGCTTTGCACATGTGTTCCTGTGTTACAGGTGCAGGCAGTATCAGGAGCACTCAAACCTTTTTGTTAGTTTATACATAGACTAGAAAGTCAGATTTGCATCTGCAGAAGCCACTGAGAGAAGTGGTCTTTGTGGGCATAGGAGGGCTTTTTGCTTGTTTTTTATTTTACCCTAGACATGGAGACAGATGTGAATGCTGCTCAGCAGCCTGTGTGTGTATGGAAATTGTGACTGGATACATCTGAATCACAGAAAAACTGTCTTAACAGGATGCTACCCCATATAGTGTTACAGCCTTATATTCTCAAAAATATTTCACAGTGCATGAATTCACATATATTAACTAATCATAAATAACTCTGCATTACATATGCCCAGAATAATGTGCAAAAAGCCTGTCAGTGGACTTATTTTTTCCCTTTTTTTCTATAAACTTCCCACCAGGGTCCCAATTTGGCAGCTAGTCTGTGTTAGCCAGTGACCTATCTGCTGCCAAAAGCTGCTGGTGGTTTGTAAGGGTGCAGGAGCCATCCCACACTCCTCTGCTATACAGCGAATAGATGGGTAGCAAGTATCTGCTAACAAGGTGCTGTCATGTATTACATGTGGAAATTTAGGAGCAGCTCAATACTAGAGGTGCATGGTCCAACTTTTATTGCTGAAACGCTTGTGAAACTTCTCTTTTGCTTCCAATGAACATTTTTAATGGGTCGATAATGTTACATTGTTAGCAGAAATTACCTTTTGGTAGAAGGCTGAAGGGAAAAAGGCAAGTAATTCACAAATTTAAAGCTCAGATTTAGGCCACCTGTCAGCTGTGTTACTGCAAACATAAAACATTTGCAGCATGCTTTTACCAGGTCATTCATGCACAGCCTATATATTCAATTTCTCTCGTTTTATTTTCCTTCTTTCCACTAAGGTACAAGTCCTGCCCTCACCACTTCCTCTTCCTCCCTTCAGTGCCCTAGGAGAGAAAGCCCTAGGCTTTGGCAGTGCTGGGGACTGGTGAGCAGCCCTGGCTGGGGTGCACGTTGTCTCCCTTGTGGGCTCTCCCCTCTGTTATTTCTAAGAGCTGGGTTTGAACGCACTGTTTTCCCCAACAGTAGGTTACACTTCCAAAGCGACTCGTGTTTTTTACTTCCCATCCTCTTTGCCATCTGTCTGTAGATCTTAGTAGACAGTCTGTTAGGATTTGCTGATAAAGGTTTTATTAAGATTTATTTAATGGGATTTTCAATCTTCCGCTCTGTTATCCATGCTGGAAAAAATATTAAACAGTGAAAATCCACAGCTGCCTTGTAACTAAATCACATTCACTCAACCTGGGGAAGAATGATTTCTAAAGAACTTCTGTCTCACAAAGGCTTAGTAGTTGTTTTGTTTATAATCTTGCTGTGGTTAAAATTGCTGCACTAGGGGGGAAAAAGGACAGAAAAATGGGTAATGCAGTTGTTTGTGTGGCTTGCCCTAGATATTATCGTTACCATTTTTTAATCTTTTTTCTTTTCTTCTTTTTTTCTAATGAGCAGAAGCAACTGTGAAAGGAGAAATTGCTGAAAACAAACAGTACAACTATAAAAAAAATGAATTCTTTTCATCTGATGCAAGTCAAGGGAAAAACCTAGCTCAATATGCTCCGGCTTCTTGACACTCAAGGTGTGATCAGAGATTACTTATCATCCACAGGAGAGTGGGAAGCAAGTTAATTAAAATTTTCCACCCTTTCACTGAATGAGATGTCTCCCACTTTGAGATGCATTATTTGAGCACTTCTTTTTCAGTAGAGTGTACTTTCTACTTCTTCTGGTGTTCAAATCCAGTATTTGCTACCTAGAAAGAGCATTGCCATTTCATCTTATGGGTCTCTGTTTGACATTTTATTTCTATTGTCTCAAATAATAGTAGATAGAATAGTTTTAATTATTGTATTGAATATAAATTCTTTTCCTCTCTACCCCGTCCCCCAGTGCATTGTTTGTTTAGAAGCATTTTTGCTTTGGAAAGCATTTAGTATGACACCAATTAAAGGTCTGTATGACCGTGACTCCTGCTGGCACACAAATTCCAGTCCTAGGATAGGATTACAGCCAATGATTCAGGAGGAGGAGGGAAAAGTCATTTCTTGTCGTCTTAAAGAAAGCTTCAATTCTCTGTATTTGCGAGTAAGGAGCTTGAAGCTCCTATTACACCTGTTTATTCAGGAATAACTCCTTTCTCTTGTCTGTCATCTTCAAATGCAGCCAATTATGAGAAGCAGCTTATTCCCCAGGGACCTGGGGAGGAGGTGCAGTGTCTGACACCAGCGCAGTGTCCTGCAGAGTCACAGAGAGTTTGTTAAGGAGCTCAGAGAAGGTGCACGCCTCTGCATTCATTACACTTCCTTTCCCCCAAACAGCTGAGCATGCAGATTGCAGTGTTGGGTACCAGCACACAGGAAAATGAAGTCACCTTTTTTGTAACAGTTGTACAGCACTCATTCCCTAGAGATTTTTACGTTTCCAGATTTTAAAAAATACTTAAGCCTGCCTTTAATTTAATCTTGGATTTAATTTCTGAAAACGTTACACTTTTGAATGTGCTTACCTGCTCTTTTCCTTTCTGCACCATTGGGATTGTGAAACAGAACATCCTTTGCTGCAGATGATGCTTAACCCTGACAAGTCAGACAGGTCCAAAGCCTCAGAGCCTGCAGGGACAGTGGGGCTGTGGCAGGAGTGATGGCGCGTCCCTGAAACAATTTGGCTTCTGTAGCAGCCAAATGAGCTCTGCGTGCTATTGATGTCCTTCCTCGTTGCCCTAATCTCCCTCTGATTTGTGATGTTTGTGGCACATCCTGATGCAAGGAGAAGGTTCTCCCTGTTAATCACCAACCTTAGGCAATGAATTCAAAACAGAAATCCTCTTTGCCACATAGAATGTTGCTTGGGGCACAGACAAGGTCTGCTGTGCCAGTCTTTCCTGACCTGCTAGTCTTCCACCTCCTAAATGAGTGAGCTCCTTGTGGTTTTTCCTCCAAACACTGTTTGATGGAGCAATGTTTTGGTCAGGTCCTTTTATGCATTCTTCCAAGCACCTCATGGCAGGCTTGTGATGGTGGATGCTCTGACCTTATTCTTAATGCTTATGTTGCATATTTTCATAGTTGTTTTTGGAAGGCATTGTTGACCAGGCTTACAATCTCAGTGTGTTATTAATGTGTTTTCTTGAGACATTAGCTCTTAAAGGCATCTTGATATGTCAGAATTTTTGCATTACTCTTGGATGCTCTATTTTAAAAACTGGAAAGAGGGGAAAATATGCATCTTATGGGGAGAATGGGAGTCTGAGGAGACGCTAAATTTACCATGATCACAGCTGTAGTGTAAGTCCTGATTGCTACAGAAGACATGAGTGGTATTGCTCCCCTTTTGCAGGGCATCTCTTTCCTCTCCTAGAGTTAGCAGTTCTGGTCTTTACATGGTGATATAAAGCAGCAGTATCTCTGTCAGTCCCTGAAAGCCTCTGTACAGAAATTAGAAGTGCTTGCACTATGTGCAGTAGAGTTTTTAAATGTCTTTGGTTTTAAGCAGCAGTAATACAGATTCTTCAGCTATTTGCATTTGTAGTCACGATCAGGTTTTTAATAGGTATAGTCAAACAGTCACTCAGTTATAAAGGTACCAAGTGACCTAAATTGTATTTGTTAGAAGAAAGGAATAGCTGAGATTGGAATTCACTAAAATACCTTAAAATAACTACAGAAGGATTTGGATTAGTTCTGATCAAATGACTATTTTATTACTGCAGAACAAATGGATTTTTTGGAGCTTCAGAACTATTGTGCCTTACCCAGTGTTGAGAATTGGCAGTTAAAACTCCTTGCATGCACATGAAACCAGTGTGAAGTGCCTGAGCTTTCTGGCAAGTGTAATTGTTATTCCAGTGGAATATAGTTACATTTGTAGAGACTGGTAGTTACCATCTCCCTGATTTGTGTTTATTAAGATTAAAAACTAGTAAACGTGCTCTAGCATCTATTTGTTAAATTACTGGACGTCAAGTAGACACCTCACTGGAGAGCAGTCTTGGTTGCAAGCACCAGTGGTTCTCTCTGTGTGAATTACAGGGCCTGCCATTCAGTAGAAGGAGAATTAACAAGGCTCTGCTGGGTTGGTTGCGGCTGGAGCCAGATTTTGCACTAAAAGGCAACGCTTTTGGTCTCGCCCACGGATTTCCTAGTTCAAAATAACAAGGAAGCGAAGCGTCTTTGTGGTGATAAAAGCAGTAGAACTGTACTTAGGTTTTGGTTTTGTTGTTGTTGTTGGCTAATTTGCTTTTGCTCCATCACGATAGAGTAACCTGACTGATTTCGGTACAGATCTCTAGGATTTATCCTAGCTCAGACAAAAACAGAATCTGAGCAAAGCAGAGTTGTTGTTTTTTAACTACTTGAATGTCTTTTTGCCTTGGAGGAGGTAATTGATAACATACAAGGAATTTGTCCTGTTCAGATCTGGAGTCATCTAAAGCTAGATGGATGACTCAGGCAGTGTGAAAACAAGATCACAGATGTTTACCATTTCAAACTAACTCATTTAACAGTTGGGATGTATGGACGAACGGTCCCATGTCTCATGGTTTTGATCGTTTTCCTTCCTGCCAAGCTGAACATACAAAGTGACCCGCTTCACTGCAAACCCTTTCTCCCTCTCAGAAAACACACATATGTTTTTTCTTAAGGGTTTTTTTTCCACATCAAACTGAATGTCACACTCCAAGTGATGATGCTGACTGTTGATTTTTCTTTCCTAGGGAGTTGAAGTGCAGACAGACTACGTTCCGCTGCTGAATTCCCTTGCCATGTACGGCTGGCAGCTGACATGTGTGCTTCCTACTCCCATTGTGAAGACAAACAGGTAGGGAGGGCTGGGGGCTGCCTTTTGGCCAGGGCGGTTGCTGTTGGAGCACTGCAGTTTGTGCAGTCAGGCTGGATTCCCCTGCATGAGCACCATAGCTGCCCCTGCAGACCCTGCTGCAGCTCTTCTGTGGGTTTTCTGAGCCTCGCAAGCCACCTGTGGCAGGAAACACATGTCTGGGGGCGTCAAAGCACTGCACGGTGGCAGTGTGGTTTCTGCATGAGTTTTCTGGGTATTGTCTCTGCGTCTCTGTAAACTCCTTGACTGTAAAATCCATGCTCTGGATCTCCCAGTAGCTCCTCTTCGAGCAAAGACAAAACGTGTGGTAACGGTTGGAGTGAGATGTTGCCTACCTGAAGAAATTTAATTCATAATCGATGTCTGTCTGATGCTGCTGATACACAAGGTCTAGCTGAGCAGGGCCATGTGAGACTGGTGTTCCATTACTCTAGTAGCCCTGTTTACATACATAACCATTGTGCAGTCTACTTTGCTATTATTAATATTCTGGGGGGTTAAATATAAATGCAAGTAATTTAAAAATACTACTCATAACTGGTGAAAAACAATTATCCCACTTGTTAATCATGAAGATGGCGCTTTCTGAGCTTTCACTGGTCAGGAATATATTTATACATATACACCAATATAATCAGTCATGATTTTTTTTAATCTTAAAAGAGTAAAAATATGCCCAGCACTTCAGGAGATCTAGATGGAGACTACTCCTACACATAAACCCCTAAAAAGTAAAGGCCATCTGTGCTGGGGGAAAAACAGTATTTAAGTTTTTCATATATATTTAAATATAGGAATGACCAGAAAATCACAATTGTGGTTCGTAAGCCCTGTCTCTTAAAGGTATATCTGGTTTTCTGAAGATCCCATTTATAACTTCAGTAACACAGGTCAGGCTGGCAGTGCAGAAGGGCACCCACCCAGTCTAACCACTGGTGGCATTTGGTTGTGCCTCCTGCCATGCTGCAGACCTCTAGGGAGCACCTAGCCCCATTGCAGATTAGTGCCCTATGAGGGAGGGAGCACTCCGGTGTCCCTGAGACACTGCCACACACAGGCACTGGAGCACTTGGGTTTCTTGCTTTTCATTCCAAACAGTTTATTCTGTGCTTACACACTAATGCTAAAACATTCAGCAAAAGCATGTCACAGGCTGACAGGCTGTATCAGGCTGAACAGTTGCTCTTTTTTTCCCCCCAAAATACCAGGCTGCTCAAAGACACTGGGGACAGGGAGTGTTTAGGTCATTCTTCATTTTGTTCTTCTTTGACCTGCAGAAATAAATGACTGAGATGGATTTTCACTTTGAATGATGCTGGATGTGAATTTAATTCATTCTCAGGAGTGAGCATTTGTTTCTTTTCAGGGAGGGAAATTTATCTACAAAGCAAATTGTATTTCTTCAGAGACCTTCCTTGCCCCAGAAAGCAAAGAAGAAAGAATCCAAGGTAAACAACCTTCAGCTCCTGGTTTCTTTGTCTTTTAGTTGGTGGTACTTTAATATTGTAATTTATTTCCTATTGAAGTAAAAATGGCCTATTCAACATTTCTCTGATACAGTAGCAAGACATAAGGAATCAAACTGTTCATATGAAAGAAACAAAAAACACCCAACTGCTGTGAAAGCTCTTATATTTCATACTGTGCTGAACTCCTGGCAGCAAAAGAGACAGAATTCTCTTCACATAAACTGGCCATAAACGTCCATATGTGACCTAAAATTTTCTGCCCATGTTCACTGCCTGCAAGGTGAAGCCAATACTGTTTTCTCTCACACACTGCCTGTCTTACCTGTTTAAACTGCTCTTTCTTTCTTGCTTCGTGTTTGGGTAGAGCCTGGCACAATGGAGGCCTGATGTTGGCTGGTGTTTCTGTCTATTGTGTGAATGTTAATGAATTCTACTTGAGTTGGAAAGAAAAAAAAGCCTGAATCCAACTAAATTATCTGAGAATGTAGCTGGCAGCTAATGGTGTATGTATGTGGATACACACATGTATTCCCATTTCCATTTTTAAACGTGTATCTGTGGGAACCCTTGCCCAAACCTGTCACACTGTGGCTGCTGAGAGGGAAGTAGAAGGACTGAAAAGAGGGGAAGTGCTGACCTTCCTACAGTGCTTGAGTTTGCCTTGCCCTTTCAGTACACAGAGGGTCAGGAAAGCCAGGTGAAGCATGGAAAAGATCTCTGGAACCACATGATGAAAAGGTTGCTAATGAATACAGCCTTGTGTTCCCTAGTTCTGTGTGCTTTGATGAGTGCTGGCTAATGCAGTGTCACAAGGAAGAGTAGTGAGCTTGAGGCCTGCAGGAGCTGATGGGGAACACTAAGCAGAGCTGAGCACTAGGAGCATTTTACCCAGCATTTCAGATAATGACAGATAGTTTTCATCTATAAAGCCCTCACTGTTTTGGAGCCTGGTTCTGTGAAAGTCATCTTTTAGAGACAGTGGAGACCAGGAGGGTGTTTGAACTGGCTGAAGTAGGGGAGAACCACTGGGAGCCTGACACTGTGATTTAGGATTTACCCTCTCTCATTAGCAAAGCTGGAGCCTGGAGTATTCTGTGAACCTGTTACAAAGCCCATCATTCTTGTTTTTACTCTTTGTTTTCAGGTGATTAAAGGGGTCTTGGGGTGAAGGTTGGAATGCCTGTATTTGGTCATTCTTAAAACCACACTGTGTCGTTTTAGGGGTGGGAACCTATAAGTGATTGTACGTCTTCAGATGGAGAAATCAGTCTGATTTCTTGTGTTACAATAACAAATACGTACCATGCCGATGACTCAGAGCTTTGTTTAAATTTTTTCATTCGGGGGATATGAAAACTTAATGTCTGGTTGACAAAACAAAGGATTTACTCGTTGACAGTATTAAATACACAGACATATTTGAGGGCAGAATCACTACAGCACATTTTCATACTGAAGGTCAAGGAAAAATAGGGTATGTGGATTATAGTTATATAAAGAAATGTAAGACTGGTTCTACATCTGTACGTGGTTGTTGCCAGTCACATCAAAGATGCCAAACCTAGTATTTGGCTAAGTTGCTGAATATTCTGCACATACAATGTCTCAGGCTCTGGGGAGTTTTTTTAACTTGTGACATGGCATGTCTGAAATGTTTACAGATAACCCCTCGGAGGGGGGAAATTGTCTGCTAAAATTAAAAGGACATTGCAGTGCTGGAAACTGACCCATCTTTTCTATGCACACCAACCACCTGCTGTTCAGTTTAGCTGGAGGAACAGAAAAGGAAACATGCAGGGAGTGGTACAACTAATTTTTCGCTTCAGTAAGACAGAAGTACTCATGTTAGTGCAATATCCAGTCAGTAATGAGATCATCGTGTTCATTCACTTTGTACAAACGTGATGCTTATGTCAGCAGAAACTGGCTGTTTGCATGTTTGTGAAATACAATATAAATACCTGACATTTGCATATACACAGAATCTCCTGCAGTTTGATCTTTATCCCATTTAGGGCCCTGACCTTACCTTCTGCTGAAGAGAGCTTCGAGTTAAAGGGGAGTTGTGGGTGCCCAGCACTTGTGCAAGTCAAAGAGGAAAACACTCTGATGTCTCTGAATTTTAAACAGTTGAGCCCTAGAACCGAGATTCTGTCTTTCCTCTTTCTCTAAGCTGTAATGATATTTAAGTGAAAGATTGCTCCCTCTAAGTAAAACCAAGAAGAATCTGGTGAAAGCAAGTTTCTACTTTTTTTCCCTTTTCTTTTTACATTAAGTTCTGGCAAGCAGAAGGAAAGAGCATTGCTCCAGCTTCATAATCTAATAAACATAATAGGTTTTGGATGGCTTTTTGATTAAGGAATAAATAGCTAGATCAAAAATTTATGAACACAAGTCCTTCCTTAGACCAACTTCAGCACAGACACGGTTGCGCTGGAGGAAACAGCTTTTGGTCCACAGCCAAATTTGCTGAATATCCTGATGAGTACATTCACATGTACTTACTTAACAAACTTGTGCAGGCTGGCGCAGAGGTGGCTTGGAACATGGTCTGCCTTTTCCTTGGGAAGGACCCTTTCTTTGCTGACGATGAAGCAGGTCTGTTAGTGGCATGTTAGCCTTTGTATGTGTTACACCTGTCAAGTCAGGATTTCAAGGTACTGCTAGTTCCCTTTCTGAATAGTAGTTAAAACAGTTCTTCTGAAGGGGCAGCTGTGGTAAGTCTTACAGTAAGTGCTACAAGAGGCAGCCTTGTGCTTTCTTATCCAAAAAAATTCCTACAAGTGGTACAGAATATTTTAGTGTTTGGGTATAGTCTTGGGTATGGTGTTAGTTCTGCTGCTAACCTGGTGAAAAACGTTGGAATAATGTCATAGGATTGCTTCCTCTGTAGGCCTCAGTGGTGACACAGCGTGTGGAGTGGTACCCACTAGGCATATGAAAAAGCAGAAGCAGAATGCACCACACTCTCTTTTCTCTGTATAATAGATATATCCGTGTAGGCACAAATGATCTTAAGCTGTCCAATTTAGTCATGCAATTTTTTTTGATCTTAGGTCTTTTTGGTGAAACTAGTCTTTGAATTAAAACTAAATAATGAAAACTCTTCTACTCAGAAAAGTAGATGTCAATGTGAGAGTCTCTCTAATGGTCTCTTAACATTTGGGTCTCTTATCTGTAGTTTCACTGGAGGTTCTCCAAAGAAGACATGCACAACAAACAAATGAAGAATTCCACAAAGGCTAAACTGAGTACTAGGGAGAGGCAAAAGGCAGAGGAGAAGCAGGAATTTGAAGTCACGGAGAACACAAAAAACTTAGAAGCACAGATCTCAACAGCAGCCAAGCCTGATCTGGAACAGCAGCTGGATGATGTCATAGACTTGGGCGATGAGGTAGCTGAGACCAATGACAGAGGTGCCCGTCACGACGGGGCCTCAGAAGAAACATGTCCTGCCAGCTGCGATAGTGGTGACAGCGATGCGCAGGCCTGCCTCAGCCAGAACACGGCTGAGCAGGTCGCAGAGCAGGGACACTGTGCTCCAGTGTCGGATGGCTGCAGCGGCGAGGACCTGTGCAGCTCCTGTGAATAAGACCTATGCTTGGAGAATCCTGTGAGTTGCTGATACTTTGCCAAGAGAAAAAAAGAGATTTTGCTAATCCCCATCACTCACGCCATTGCTTGGTTCAGCATTCCTTTGGCATTGTACTTCCTTTGCTCCTTAGCACACCAATATCTTGATGTTTTAAGTAACTCCAGGGCCTGGGCTTTCTAACCCACAGAAATTAATTGTAAGATTCCATCTGCTGTACAGAGTGGGACATGCCCTACACCATCTCCTAGAGCTGCACCTGAGTTTAAAAAGCAAGGTCAGAAAACATACTTGGGGTTTTCTGTGAGCGACCGTAGCAAAGTAGGTTTGCATCTAGATCAGGGCAAACATTCCACTCAGATCTTACTCTGTAATACTTTCTTGTCCACGTATCTTTGCTGGAGAAGTTATTGTGCCATATGTTATTTTGTCATTAAGCTTGTAGTGTCATGGAAATGGTATTTGGACTTAAACAGGCTGAAATGGGAAAGCGTAGATAAAATGGCTGTTATCTATATTTATCTCAAATAGCATACTTACTGATGATAACTCTCTTCTGAGTTTTATTAACTCCTGCAGATCTTTAAGCAATGAGCAAATCGTGTATCTATTTTAGGCACTCCGGGTAAACAAACCCCAGGGTACCTTTGTGTGAGGCAGACAATTCCAATATAAAATGCAATTTGCTATCTGCTCACGTTTCTGTTCTCTTTGCCAGTCAACAGTTCATCAATAGCATGGGGGCTTCAGAAGATAGAAAGACAGGAAACAAAAAAGCAGGTAAAACCTGCTGCTTTCAGTTGCTATCATCACTAAAATTGGAATGAGATGTTACCTCTTGCCCCTTCCAGGTAGTCATGCACCACTTCCTCACTGTTACGGGAACTGAAATTGTACACAGGTCAGTGACCAACAAACGTCACTAAATGACCTTACACGTACCTTAATAGAGGGGGTTTTATACAAGTAACCATATTTTTGGACCGATACCTAACAGAATTCTGTAAAATTACCAACATTTTTATGTTTGGAGCCACATTAAAATATTTACAACTGAATGTATATGTGTAATATAGTTTCTGTGCCAATGTTCTCCTAAATGTATTCCTAAAAATGTAGGAAGTAGTGGTTTCTCTCTTCTTATCTGCCTTTATCCCAGTTTAGAAGTGGTCAAGTAATTTGGTAATAAAGTGAGAAATACATTCTAAATTCCCCTGCTTTTGTTGTTTTTAAAGCAAGAGCTCTGTAAGCATTTTGCTGGTTTTGCCCTTGCCTGATTTGTGCCTGATAATTTCCCTCAGTCTTCAAACCAAAATGCTGTATGTACAAAGAACCATGTTCTGTATCAGATGCACACCTCGAGAGGCTCAAAAGCATCTTCCACACCTCAAAATTATACAGTTGGCAGAACATTGCAGAGAAGGGAAAAATCACACCCCTTTGAATAATCATCTGATCGGGCCAATAGCACTAGAGTTGAAACCATTTGATTTCACACACACAAGGCACAGTGGTGGGGGTTTTCATTGATTAAAGAGGTTTTCTGGGTTTAGTTCGGTGGTTTAACCACAGGACTGGAAGTAACTTCCATTTCTGGTGGTATTTTTCAATTATTTTGTTCTGCTTCTTGACATTAGACTGGAGCTCTAGTAGCCTCAAAAATAGGTTGTTTTGGTTGTTCTACTTAGGCACAAGGTCTCTGCTCTGTACAGCTTTAAGTACTCGTTTGCAAATTTTATTAGTGTTAAGATCCTTCTACTGGTGGTTTCTATTTCAAGGACTTGCTTTGTATTACTCTTGTTTAAAATTTGCTATATTTAATGAACATTTTACTAGTAGAAAGTGTTGCAGTAGAGCAAACTCTCCAAAGTTACTTGGAATAGAAAGTGTTTCTTGGATTGCAGTTTGACCTTGCGTGACTGGATCCCAGCTGCTTACAAAATTGAAGAGAAATAAAGGTCATGAGGAGATTTCTTACTTGTGATGCTTGCGCAACTGCCAATAATTTGTCCCCAAAAGGAGGAACTGAGCATGTGTAAGTGGTGGTGAAGGGAAGCTCCTTACTACCAAATAGCAGTAGTTACTAGCGCTACAGAGCTGGCTACTTGGTTTTCCATCACCTGTCTGACAGGGTATGTCAGGGTCTGTGGGAAAGTTGCACTTGTTTAAGTGAAAGCTCAGTTTAAACCTTTGTTCCCATAAATGCCGGAGTGGCTTAGGGTTGGGGAGACTCGAACTTTCATGGCGTTTCAGTTTAAAAAGGGCAAATGGTTTTGGTTTTATAGTCGCATAAATCAGTTCCGACTTCTGACTTTGAATCGTGGCTCTGTGGCTTATCTTATCTCAACTGCCTTTGCCACTGGGGGCTTGCAAAAGCCAGACCACCAGAGTGGTGGAGGAAGCGAAGGCAAGCTGTCATGCCCTTATCTGCAGTGTGAATGGAGAAGAGAAAGGGCTGGCCCAGGGCCTAACTCCTGTGTCTGAAAACTTGACCAGTGCGGGGAAACGCACCAACAGTGGCGAGACTGCGTGTGGCTGCAGTGGTGCAGCCTTAACCTTCAGCGTGTGGTGGAGCTCAGGGCTCTGTGCTGACTTCTCACTCAGAGGAGCCACAGTTACTCTGAGCCACTGGCTCCGCAGTGGGCCTTGTCACCCCAGCAGAAAGGTGGACAGAGAAGCCAGGCCCTTTCTTTTCCCACAGAGAGACACCATTTTAAGCCCAACCTATTTTTTTTCTCCAAAACTAGGAAGAATTTCCCAGTAAGGATGCAAACTAACCTTGCCATGCCTCTCTTGAAGGGAAGGAGGCTCCAGGGAGCATTGCCGGCAGGTGTGGGGAAGGCATGGATAGGTTGTTACCATGTGCTACCAATGGTTACGCTGGCTGGTGACAGAAGCATGACAGCACACGCAAGTGTCACACTGGTATAGTTTAAGGTGAACATGTCCTTGTTAGACCAACAAGATTCACGTGTGTAGGCCAGTCTTTGAAGGAGGAGGAATTACACACACCAGTGTTCAGAGCAAGTGGTCATCTGGACAACGGTTGTTAAGTGGAATGAGTTCAGTGGCGAAAATGCAGGTTGGACAATGAAGAAATGCTGGTAGGGGAATGAAGATGGCAAAGAGGAGTGGCTGAGTTGAATGAAGGATGGAAAAGGGGGTTTGCATTGAAACAGCAGGGGGCAGGAGGGCAGAGCTGTGGTGGGGAGAAGTCCAAAACGTTAAAGGATGATGATGAAAACAGTGTCTGTAGAGTTTAGGAGGCATTAAATGCACAATTTGACTGGCACTTCATCTTGCATATTTTCATTACTGGATCTGTACACTCAAAACCAGTGTAATTTAAATAGCTCAAAGTAGTTTTAACATATGCATGAAGTAAAGTATAAAACAAGGTGCTTTTTGTTTTTTGCTAATTTGGCTCCTCTTTCAGCCTCAGTTTCTGAGGTGAGCAGAGGAAGGGCTCTGCATTAGGAGACCCGTCTTTCTTGCTGTACTTTCACCTCAGGGAGCCAATTATGGGGCAGAAATAAAGCAGCATCAGCTTTTCATGCAGTAATTTCATCTTCCCAAACTGAAGGGTATAGGAGGAGCAGATACTAATTTCTTGATGATAAATGCTGCTCAAAAGCAGGAGGAATGGTGGCTAACAGCAGCAGCGCAGCTATGAATTACAGCTGTAGGTGCAACTCGTGTCTCTCCCAAGCTGTCAGTGGAGCTGTGCCTGGCTCTAAAAGGCGATCCTTGCCAAGCCTCTGTTGGCTGAGAGGTGCCTGTGGTGCCACGTGTGGCAGCTGACTCTAATCAGGACCTTACCTGGACACTGAAGGGGGGAAAAGGCTTTTCCATTTAATTGCTTTGTTAGCCACTCTAAAAGCCTCTAAAATGAGGTAATGATGACTGAATAGCCACTCTTCTTCCAGTTAATGAATGCAAATCCTATAGGAATACTTCATATTCATTGTACCAGATGAGCACGCAGGGAACTGGTGAAGTGTGTTTCATGGGAAGAAGAGAAAGATTCAGTCTAATAAGGTTGTTACACCTGGTAACCACAATCTATCTCAGTAAGTTTAAATGTGTAGATGGAGACACATTGCATGCCTCATTTTGTTGGAAAAAAGAGAAAAGAGTATCAGTCTGCTTTTTCTGTATAGTCACTCCTGAGCTGATGGCACAAATGCAAGAGGAAAAAAAGCAGTTTCTAAGATGACATGCTGTGGTTCAATGATGTGGTGAGGATGTTTCTGGACCTCGGTAGCTGCTGAAGAGCAGGGGTTGCTCTCTGCTCCCGCCAGTGCAGGCTGCTACCACATTAATTTCATGATTTGTAGAGATATGTTCATATATAGGAGAATTTTATTTTTTATTAATTTAGTTTTTCCTTTCCCCCCTCTTCCATTATAGAACCGCAGGATGGTTTGGAAGGGACCTTAAAGATCATCCAGTTCCAACCTCCTGCACGGGCAGAGACACCTTCCACCTAGACCGGGTTACTCCAAGCCCCTGTGTCCAACCTCGCTTTCAACACTGCCAGGGATGGGGCAGCCACAGCTCTGTGCCAGTGCCTCAGCACCCTCACGTTTACTCCTAATATTTAATTACGGCAGAGTCAGCTCCAATAACTTACTTTAAGGTGAAACTGATGTTTTGCCCCAAGACCATTAAACTCCAGACTAAAGATGGGTCTTCTAAAAGAATCTTAAGTGTCAACAGGAACAGGCTATGGAGGAAAAGGGATGTTAACACCTTCCCTGGCTTCCTGGCTCAGAACTGGCATTTATTCCCATTACAAGCACGATGGCATGAAGGTGTTCAGTGGCCTTTGGCAGGATTACCATGCAAGGTAAGAACGAACTTAGAGCTGAGGTTCCTGCTGTTTAAGGTGTTTTCCTCCTCCATCTTTCGGTGCTCTATGTGTTTAATGCTGCTCCTCAAGCGGGTGAGCCCGTACAATGAGCGAGATGTGTCCTTGCCCCACAGCACTGGTCTGAGTATAACAGGGGATGACAGAAAGAGGTTAGAGGGAAAAGAGGAGGATTGCAGAAGCAAAGGGGTTTGAAATGCCTTTTGTTAAATGGACATTCTGGTGCAAGGCTGAGGAGGGGGTTGTGAACGAGAGATGTCGTTCAGGCTGACGAAAAGCTGTGCATTAAGGGGAAAAAAACAGGGTAAACCAGTTCATAATACATGTAATGATTTAAAAGTCATACAAAACCCAGCATTTAAAGGCTTCTTAGAATCTTTTTGTCATTACACTGTTAAAACATGCAGGAGCCTCATGCATGATTTTTATTTTAGGGTACCAGGACTTTCAGATAGCTATTAGTGCAGGTCTCTAGAAAAACACCCACCCTGCTTCCTCCAAGCATCAAGCTCTGACATGTCAGTTGCAATCCCTGTGAACACAAACCACCTTGGTTTTATTTCCTGTGACAAGCACGCTGTCCTATTTACATTCCAGAGCAAACAAACAAGGAACCATCCCTTGAAACAGGGGGACGTGGAAAGAATCTTCCTCTTGTCTGTGTGGGAGGGAATGTGATGAGACATCACCCCCGGGGCTGCAGCCACCGCTGAGGAGGCAGCTCATTTTGGCTGCCCATCGTGCTGCACGGTACAGAAACACAAACCTCAGTGGATGAGGCTGCAGGCACCAGAAGGTGAAAGCTCACAGGCACTCCCTCATCACGGCACCCTGCCCAAAAGGCAGTTCTTTAAGGTCCATCATTCAGCGCCACCCCTTTTCCCAATGGAAAGCACAGGCTGTGGCCTTCAACTGGGTTTGTTCTGAGCTGCAGTCAGCATGGCTTTTCCTCTCTGACTCCCAGAAAGCACTAGGACGTTTCAGTTGTTCAGTCAGCTTCTACAGCAACTGCAGCCGTATTCCTGTGCTGCACACAAAGAGGGGGCTGGAGTTTCCCAGCGAGACTCTTGCTGAGGTTTGAGGTGAATGTGGATGTGGCAGGAGGCATAAGCTGTAAAACCTATCAGAGACTGATAAAAAGGTTAAAGGCTCAAGGCTAAACCCAGCATCCAGAGCTGAAATGATTTTCTAGGAGAACTAGAGCTGGGCTGGAGGCCATTTTAGCCAGGCACTGGAAGTTATGCTTGAAATATGTAAGTAAGTAAGTGCTGCACACCACCAGTACTGCTGCAGGCTGGAAATCGGGTGATGGGATCAGTATCTTTGCAACCTCTGCTGAAGGCAGAGCAGAGGGATGCTGAGAGCAAGAAACTTGCTGTGTTACCTATTTGACTGTTGTCTGAAGCAGTCAACTCAAGGAAAGGAGCCACTAACAAAGAGAAGGCCTCCCCTCTTCAGCATTTTTAATAATTCAGTAATAATTTAAGCTTTTTAATAATTTACATGTTCCTTATTGAGGTCTTCAGATGTACAGTGGGAATCTCTACCACCTAAGGACTTGAACTGTCTACAGCGATATTTAACAAACTCATTATGGCTTATTGCTAGTCTCATCATTGCTAGGATGAGTTTTTCTACAAGTCAGGGGCAGAAGCTTCATTCAGGAAGGGAGCAGGTGTCAGCCACCGCACCCAGAGGTACACTTGTACCTTCAAAGAGCAACCTCTTCCAAACACAACAGGTATCTGTCTCCTGGAGACTGCTAAAACTCAGTGCTGCGGCAGGATTATGGAGGTGCCCTGTCCCAGCTGCTGGTGGCCAGTGCTGCCTTAGAGAGCACAGCCTGTGAAGCTCAAGCTGGATGGGTGCTCACGGCACCAGCAAGGGAGGCAGGTTCCCATGAGTAACTCCATCCAGCTCTGTCAGGAGCTAACAGCTTCCGCACACTCTTACACTCAACACTCCTAGCTCAGGTCTGAGTCTGATTATGAAAATATGTCTTTTACTGTCAACACAGTTGCCTAACTCAAATAAACCACATAAGAGGTGGGGTTTTTAGTTTTAAGAAGACGTGGCAAGAGGGAAGTCACAGCAACTTGACTTCTGTAAGATACAAATGAATGGTACAGACCTGGGGAAGGCAGTGTGTTGACTCATTAGCACAACAGTTTGGAGCACACTCAGAAGTTGTGACCTGAATTACTATTTATCAGAAGCTGGCCTGGCCCTGCTGTACAACTGATTCTCTGCAACTGCTGAATCAGGCACTACAAAAGCCTTTCCAGAAGCTGACTAACAAACAAGTGCAGAAAGTGAAAATACCCGTAAGTAGTTAAGCAACCCATCAAAAATCAGAACAGTCAATGTCTTTAATATAAAATCACTTCTTCCCCGAAAGCAGAAGCATTTCAGGTGTATTATGGTTAAATTAAAGGACCATTGTCATGATTAAGGATATCTTTATGTGTGAAATAGAATCTTCCAAATAATTCATAGTCCATTTCTGTACATTTCAGCTTATCAAAATACACTAGAAAAAAAAT